GTGTGGCATATACCAAAGTGATGCACTGTCTCCACTGCTGTTCTGCATCGGCATGAACCCCCTCATCCAGATAATCACAAGGACTGGATATGGATACAAATTTAAGAGTGGAACTACCATCAGCCATCTCCTCTACATGGATGACATCAAGCTATATGCTAAGAGTGAACGAGATATCCACTCGCTGATCCACCTGACACAGATCTACAGTGAAGACACTGGGATGTCATTCAGATTGGAGAAGTGTGGCTGGATGGTAGTAAAGAGAGGGAAGGTAGTTAAGACTGACAGGGTGGAACTACAAGCGGGGCACATATAAGACATACAGACCAGCTACAAGTACCTTGGTATCCCCCAGTCACAGGGGAACCACAATGAGGAGACAAGAAAGACAGCAACATCCAAGTACCACCAAAGGATAAGACAGGTCTTGAAAAGCCAGCTCAATGGGAAGAACAAGATCCAAGCCATCAACATGTACACCATTCATCAGATACCTTGCCAGTATAGTGAGCTGGCCAAAGGAGGACATGGAGGCTGCTGATGTGAAGACCTGAAAGCTCCTCACAATGTACAAAGGTTTCCACCCCAAGTCCAACCCCCAGAGACTGTACACCAGCTAGAAAGAAGGCAGGCAGGGTCTGGTGAGTGTCAAAGCCATTGTCCTGGATGAAACGCAGAACATCCAGGATGGCACCCAAAGATGATCTGCTGAGAGAATGCCTGAGGCAGCAGCAGACATGGGAGGAAGTTCAAGCAGAGGAAGTGCCATGGCAAGACAAGACCCTGCATGGGATGTATCACTGACAGATAGCTGAGGTGGCTGACATTGGGAAATTCTACCAGTAGCTGGAAAGGGCTGGACTAAAAGTCAGCACTGAGGCACTGATCATAGCAGTACAAGAATAGGCACTAAGCACCAGATTCCTAGAAGCGGGGTCTACCACACTAGACAGGACCCAAGGTGCAGACCGTGCAGAGAGGCCTCAGAGACAGCCGAACACACAGTGGCCGGGTGTGAGATGGAGGTAGCAACAGCATACACTGAACAGCACAACCAAGTAGCTGGCACTGTGCACAGAAACATCTGTACAGTATAAGGGCTAGGCGCTCCCAAATCCAGATGGGAGATTCCACAGAAGGTTGTGGAGAATAACAGGGCTAAGATCCTGTGGGACTTCCAGATCCAGACAGACAGACAGATAGGTACTGACCAATCAACTAGATATTGTGGTAGTAGACAAGGACTAGAAGACAGCAGTGGTGATAGATGTAGTGGTGACAGGTGACAGCAACATCAGGAAGAAGGAGTATGAGAAGCTGGAGAAGTACCAGGGCCTGAAGGAGGATGTGGAAAGTAAAGGCCAAAGTGGTCCCAGTGCCGGTAGGAGCACTCGGGGCTGTGACGCCTAAGCTGGGAGAATG